TGTTAGGTTCGTAATTTCATAATCTACATGTTCATACTACAGTTAAGTATGTTTTCAACTTTTAAAATTCAAGGTTAGATTTAATCTATTATTTTATTAAAGAAAAAATCTTGATTAAATCATATCCTCTACGTTTTAACTCCGTTTTAGTCCATTCAAGTTGTGTTAGATTCATAGCGACGAGAACTACGCATTAGTAATGATGTTTATCATGTCATTATTTCTGGAATTTCATGGTTTAAACTCTAATTTGAATAATAATTATGCAACTAGATTTTATAGATAAAATATGATTTGTTTTACTTTAGTTTTATAATTCGAATCTAAATTCGATTTAATTCAATTTATATAAGCTTTTATATAGTTAAAATAAATGAAGCCTATAGTTTTCTTTTCCGCGCATAAAGCAGATCTATCGGTAGATGTATCTTTTTCATCGAAGCTCTAATTAGCGTGTTTTCGCGTCTGTGTGTTCGTAGTGATGCGTAGGATCGTATTTCAAACTCTTTCATTTAGTTTTCTATGATTGGTGTACTGTTCTAATTTAGATCTATTGTTTGCTTCATATATGATTGTATGGATGCTTGTGTGGTGCTTTATGATTTCGTCCAGTCGGTGAGATATACGTGGTGATCAAGAAGAAGAAGAAGAACGTTGAAGATTAAAGCTTACCGAATGATCGGTGTTTTAAGGCAAGTATAGCATGGGATCTTCTTTGTTATCTATACACCTTTAATCATTTAGTTCATACTGCATGTGTCTACCTTGACTGTCACTAAGGATTTTCTAGTACTTTGCTACCCTGTACCTTGATTCCTATAGGGTAGTGCATTGGGTAGTATGATGCTAGTGCTCAATTAAAGACCATGATCTTATAACTTGACTAATGGTATATGCAATAAACAGTAAAAGATGTTTCTTTTTTAGTAACATGGAATAAGGGGGCTAGAGCATTGGGCTATTTTATGGTGCTCTAGATTCCTCTCCCTAAGGACTCATCTGTAAGTGATCATCCAGGACTTACAGTACAACTGTGAGGGCTATATGGCTCTTGCTTTAGCTCAGTATGAGGACCTTTTCTAGCTTGTTAGTGGTTACCTTTATTGGCGTAAGAATGGCTTGACGAATCGGGTATAGTGCGGCATTTGTCCCCTTGAGTATAGGTTGCGCGTTATTGTGCCATTGAGAAGGGGGGCTCTACATCTGTTTGTCGAGTGAAGGTAATGGCTCTAACTTGTTAGACGAACCTTTGAAAGGCTTCATAGTGAACCCTGCCGACTTTCCTTGGTAGTGGGTCAAGAGGTTGGCCGCCTCAAGTGAAAGGGTAAATCACGACTCACAGTGAAAGTGTACAACCTCTGTAGAGTATAAAACTGGTATATCAGTCGTGCTCACGGTCACGAGCGGTCTTGAAACCCTTACAGAATAGATGATTACTAATGGTTAATGATGATGAATACTAATGATACTGATGATGAAGATGCTCATTAATGATTACTGTTTTTGCTATTCTTTATTCATGTTTACCTAATCATATGTTTATGTGGGCTTGTGGATAAACTTGTTGCTACTCAATTGTTAAAATCATGAGTCATTAAAAGCTAATCGTAGTTAAACCAGTATCAGCCTTTTGAGCCTCATGAACCCCATGTTATATTTGTTGAATACGACATGTACTTACGCTTGCTTTATTTTTCAATTATTTGGATAAAAATCCCATATGGGTACCAGATTGCTAGAGTTTGAAGGAATTAGGCTTGTGATCAACCAGTCAGTTGTCCCTGTGGAATTGGAGTTTTCACCCGAAGATCGGAGTTGTCTTTCCGCTATTTACTATCTAAGGTTATATTCTCTATACTAAGTACGTTATATATCGAGCATTATTTATTGATATTACCCTTATTTGTAGCTATATGTGAGATTTGATTTCCTGGGCTCACATATGGTGTGTATCTGGTTTTGTTTTTAAAACCGGGTGCTACAGTATAAATATTAGATCCTGGTTATTGTAAAAAAACGAACACTCAATCAATATAATTTTTCTGGCTTTCGCCATCGCATTAGGAGTAGGAGTACTATAGATCTCGGTGAGTTCTTCAGCAAATAGGGCTGTATCGACCGATTGACCTTCAGCTTGCTTGTGAGTATCGTCATCACTTGTATTGTGCTTGTAAAACTGCATCAGCTGATTGATCTTTTATGAGCCATAATAGAAGTTAGTTATCGATCTGTATCGTAGTTTGTAAGGCTGTAACAGCTGATTGATCTCTTACGAATCATAATACAGATCAAAGGTATCGATCTTGTGTTAAGTAACTTGTTGTTTAATACAATATCACCAGTTATCGAATCTGCTAAGATTAGTAAGATTTTTCTTGCTATTTTGGTTGATTCACCAGTTATCGATTTCGTTATAATTAATATTTTATTAATTATAACAATATCACCCGATTAAGATAGAGATAGATCAACATCGTATAATCTTAATTGGTCGTTGTATACTTACAACATATCAACAAAAGTACAACATCCATCGCGTCTACGCAGGAGTTCCTGCCGACGGCCGTCCGCTTCCAGGTGTTCGGTGCGCACCCGTCGGCGCTCACCAAGCTCCTGTTCCGGGGCCGGTACGAGAAGATGCTGTCCATCCGGCGCAGGCACGAGGAGCTATTCGTCCTCCTGATACGAGCTCGCAGGGCGCGCCACGCCGCCGCCGCCGTGGACAACGACGACGTTGCCTGCTACGTGGACTCCCTCCTTGACCTTACTGTCTCCGAAGATGTCGACGGCTGTGGCAGAAGAAACCAGCTGACGGAGAGCGAGATGGTGAGCTTGTGCACCGAGTTCTTGTCCGGCGGCGCGGACTCCACCATCACAGCGCTGCAGTGGACCATGGCGAACGTCGTTGCGCGGCCGGAGATCCAAGCGAAGCTCCGGGCCGAGATACGCCACGTCGTCGCCGGCGCGGGCGCGGATGACAATGGCATCCAGCTGGACGACGACGAGCACCTGCCGCAGATCCCGTACCTCAGGGCCGTGGTGCTGGAGGCGCTGCGAAGGCACCCGCCGGGCCGCTTCATGGTGCCGCGCGCGGCCACCGAGGAGGGTTGCGCGACGCTCCACGGCTTCAGCGTTCCGCGGCACGTGTCGGTGAACTTCACGCTGGGCGACATGGCGATGGACGAGGCGGTGTGGCCGGAGCCGGCGCGGTTCCGGCCGGAGCGGTTCCTCCCCGGCGGCGAGGGGGAGGACGTGGACCTCACCGGCAGCAGGGAGATCAAGATGATGCCGTTCGGCGCCGGGCGGCGGATGTGCCCCGGCGTCGATGTGTCGCTGCTGCACCTCGAGTGGTTCGTGGCCAATATGGTGAGGGAGTTCGAGTGGAAGGAGGTGCCCGGCCAGCCGGTGGACTTCGCCGAGAAGCTGGTGCTGACCATGGTGATGGCACGACCACTACGTGCCATGGTCGTGCCATTCTCCTAGCTGTTTCCTGCATACCCGATTTCCTGCTGCCGCACACACGCACATGCATCCCGCAGAGACCGACCGAGGCGCAGCAGCACACACACAGACACTGACGCCGCCGACGTACGCGTCCTGCCCTGTTGCACACCACGCCCGTGGCATACTCCTGCATCAACGTCACTGCAGACTCGAGCCACGACCGTTAAGCCACCAACCTGCAGTGGCATGTCACTGTTGGTTTTTGAGAACCTCCGATCATTTTCTGATTTTGAAACTGACGATCGGTAGTGAAGGGCACGGCTGGTTTGATGGGCCAACAATGAAGGTCAGTTCTGCAGTAGTGTCAACCCGTGTGTTCTACTAGCATATGTTACAAACAGCGTGTCTGCATGCAACATTTGGATTCGAGAAGGTGCACGTACGTATGTATGGAGAAATTTGAGCACCAGTGCTTGCGGAAACAAATTCCTAATTTGATACATATCTTTAGCTAGCTGATAAGATCTGAAGCACACAAGTAACAGAAATACTCAAACGCAGTCGCCTGATAGGCTACTTATCCGTCAATCGACCTTCTTCTTCCTCCCAGCTACGTCCCCTTCTTCTTCCTTTGTTCCCTACGTCTCCTCTCCCAACTCCGGCGAGCTCCTCCGCGGTGGCCACGGCTGCGCCCGCCCCACCCCTTCTTCCCCAACTCTGGCGGGCTTAGAAGAGAAGGGGCTCGGGGGAGGTAGGGCGGCCAGGCGGTGGGGATGGTGGCTGGGCAGTTAGGGGCCCTGGCAGCGGTAGAGGCGGCCGTGCTAGATTAGGGCGGGTGTGTCATGTCGAACTCACGGGCATGCTGCCCTAGGGTGGTTAGAGTGGGCAGGGTAGAGGAGCAGGGGCAGGTTGTGTGTGGCGCGGCGAGGCGGCTCGCCACCGGCCGTCGGTGGTGGAGGCGGGGGCGGGGCGAGGACGAGGTTCGTTGCCGGTGACCTTCCTTGGCTTTAGGGGAGCACGGAGTCGACGAGGCAGGGGCGGACGGTGGGCGGGAAGGGCGGCAGCGAGACAGCGGTGGCTGGGGGCGGTGGGGGAGGAGGGGCTTTGCGAAGAAGACGACGAGGAGGAGGGGGCGGGAGTGGAGGAAGAGGTTGAGGATGACTAAAGCATATGCAAAATAACAGGCAACTGATGTGGAGACACAGCCCACAGGTAACATTTGTAGCCTTGCAGAGCACTGTTTTTAAGCGAGCAGAAAAGTGGTTGCCCTATTGATGAGAGTTTATTTTTATTAATTAAAGGAACAAACAGAGCAGTCCAAGTCCCAGGAAACATTATTACAAGAAAGCTTCGCCAGCAATAGCAGGCCAACAACATGACTCCACAGGAAAGTTGGTGGCGATTTTTTTGCTGAAACTCGCTGAACTTTTACTGAAAGAGAATGGTACGCTTATCACTCAGCAAACAAACGAGTAACAAGCAGCAGAAAAAAAAAAACAGATGTTCGGTTCGACAACGACAGCCACCCGTACGTGTGAGTTCGGCGCGCTCCTTGTTCACCGGACGACGGTGGCACGGAGCGGGCGGCGCATCACGACGGACAGCTCCTGCTTCTCGGCGAACTCCACCGGCTCACCGGGCACCTGGAGCCACTCGAACTCGGCGACGAGGCTGGCCACGAAGAACTCGAGGTGCAGCAGCGCGAGCGCCATCCCGGGGCAGATCCGCCGCCCGGCGCCGAACGGTATCATCTTGACCTCCTTCGCGCCGGTGAGGTCGACGTCCGCGCCCTCGCCGCCGGGCAGGAACCGTTCCGGACGGAACCGCAGCGGGTCCGGCCACACCGCCTCGTCGAGCCCCAACGCGACGAGCGGGAAGTTGAGGGACGCGCGCCTCGGAACGAGGAAGCCTTCGAGCGACAGCCCGCCGCCGTCGTCGTCGATGCCCGTCGCGGCGTGCGGGATCGCGAAGTGGCCCGGCGGGTGGCGCCGGAGCCCCTCGAGCACGACGGCGCGAAGGTACGGAATCCGCGGCAGGTCCTGCTCCTGGACGCCCGCGCTGCCGCCGGTGGCCGTGACCTGGTGGATCTCGGCACGGAGCCTCGCTTGGATCTCCGGCTGCGCCACGAGGTTGGCCATGATCCACTGCGCCTCGGTGGCCGTGTTGTCGGTGCCCACGGCCACAAACTCGGCGCACAGGCTCACCATCTCGCCCTCCGTGAGGTTCCTGACGCCGCCGTCTTCGGGGATTTGGAGGCCGAGGAGCGTGTCCACGTACGTCGTCGTGTCGTCCACGCCGTCGCCGGCGTCCCGTTGCGCGCGACACGCCCGTATGAGAGGCGCGAACAGCTCCTCCTGCCGGCGCCGGAGGGACATCATCTGCTTCCACCGGCGCCGGAACAGGAGCCTGGTGAGCGCGGGGCACACGTCGAGCACCTGGAAGCCGAGCACCGACGTGAGGAACTCCCGCTGCAGCGCCTCGACGGCCGCGACGACGGCGTCGGTCGCAAGGCGCTCGCCGAAGCACATGGTGACGAGGATGTGGAACATGGCCCGGTGCAGGAGCGCCTCGACGACGACCACCCCGTCTCCCCGCATCTGCTGCGCCACGACGCCGGCGACGAGCCCCTGGAGCGCTTTGCGGCGGGCGGCGGCGAACCGGCCCAGGCGCGACGGGTGGAACACCTTGCTGGTGAGGTTGTGTCGGAGCGCGCGCCAGAGCGGGCCGTAGGCGCCGGACGTGATGTTGCGCTGGCCGCTGGAGAAGATCCGGAAGGGGAGGCTGGCGGGGGGCCTGTCGGCGAAGGCGGCGCCGCGCTGCACCAGCGCGCGGTGCGCCACGGCGTGGTCGGCGACGAAGATGGCCGGGCGGGACGGCAGCAGGTAGAGCGTGAAGACCGGGCCGTACCGGGACCGCGCGGCGGAGAGGACCAAGGTTTTTAATTTCGGTATCGCCAAAATTTCGGCCACCACCGAAATTATCGAATTTCTCGATGCCGAAGTTGGTCCGGCAATATAAACAATAGAGGAAGAAAAAATTGAGTTTTCTTTCGGCAGCAAATTTCACCGTGATCAGCGATCAGCGATAGCAGCGATGGGCCCGGCGGCAGCGGCGTTACGGTGGTGGTGGACGGACGGAGGGAGGAGAGGAGGGGGATGATTGCGATGCAGACGGCTATGGCGAGGGAGTAGTAGAGCAAGTCTTCCATGGCTGCTGTACTGCTGGTGAGGTGAGTGCTGCTGCCAGTGGCAGGCAGAGACGAGACGATGAGACATCATTTTAACGTGGTGCAGCAGCAGCAGAGCCAGGTGTGCACGTACTTGGTGGGTCTGTCATGCCGGCGCGCCAACTACCGGAATGCCCAGGTTTACCGTGAACACGGCACACGGGAAAAAAAAAACAGGGTAAAGGCTTCGTCGAGTGTAAACGCCACTCGAAGTACACAGTAACGGCACTTGCCGAGTGTTTTTTATCGGGTATTCGGCAAAGACGTTACCGAGTGCTGAAACCAACGCTCGACAAAAAAAAGTAACGTGACGGTGCGGAAACGGTCACGGCGTGTTTGCCGAGTGTCTAACGGCCTCGCCACTCGGCAAACATAACCTTATTTGCCGAGTGTCCCGGCTCTGACACTCGGCAAATATGTCTGTCTTTGTTGAGTGTCCAGCCCTGACACTTGGCAAATATTTTTGTGAAAATTAAAAAAAAAAGCCCGGCCCAACAAGCCACCACCGGCCGCCCGTCGCCCTCGCTGCCCGTCACGGCCGCACGCCATGGCCGCCGGAGTGCCGCGCCGCGCCGCCCGTCGCCCGCATGCCCCGGCCGACCCGCGCCGCCCCGCCCGCCCCGACCAACGGAGTGTCGCGCCGCCCATTGCCCGCCGCCCGCCACGGCGCCCGAGTCTTAGAAACCTTACCCCTGTCGCCACGCCGCCCGTCGGCACCGTCCACCGCCACGGCCAGCCGCGCTACCCCGCCCGCCATGGCCGCCGGAGTGCCACGCCGCGCCGCCCATCGCCCGCGTGCCCCGACCGACCCACACCGCCCCACCCGCCGGGGCCGCCGGAGTGCCGCGCCGCCCAATCGTCTATACGACCGACTCATGTGCGCCAAACATATGTTCCAGCGTACAACATCATGTGTATGGTAAAAAGCACTTGCGATTTCTCTCCTGTTTCCAAAAGGTGCACCTACCGGGCGCGGCACTCCATCATGTGTTCCCGCCCGCCGCGGAAAATAAGTCGCCTTCTTCCCGTGCCGGAGCATGAACGCACAGGGCACCGGCTCACTTTTCACTTGGCGACGCCCGGCCGAGATCGATCGGCAGCAGCAACGGCAAGCGCGCGCGCGGCCGGAACTCAAGTAGTACGTACTACTGGAGTACTCCAGGAGTAATAAAACCCTCTCGGGTTGTAGCCGTCCGGCTCCGGCCCCTCCTCTCTCGCTCGCTGCCCTGCCGCTGTGGGCTGCGCATATGGCGTCACCTCCTGTCCTCGTCTCGCCGCTCCCTCTCTCCACCCTCTGGATATTAGCCGTCACCGAGGCCGATGCATGCGACCGAAAAAACAAAAAAGGGAAACGGAAAAAGGAGCCGCGGAAAAGCCATGAAAAGCGGAGGTGTTGCCACAGATCGACATGCCATGCCAGGCACTCCTCCTCCCCACGCTCTCGTCCTTGCCAAAGTTGTCATGCCTGAACCGGTACAAGCTGGTGTGCACAGCATCTCCTTGTCCCTTTGCACCTGTAGGCTGTAGCCCCTCCGGTAGGTGCACCTAACGATTTCGTGATAAGGAACCCCGTTTGTTTGTTTTCCGGACCCGCGTCGCCCCGCCCGTCGCCCGCGTGCCCCGGCCGCCCGCACCGAGGAGCCGGCCGCCCTCCTGAATGCCGTCGCAGGTTGGAAGATGGTGGGAGGAATGGATAAGGAGAGAGAGAGAGAGGGGGGGGAGGGATCCATAGAGAGGAGTTTGAATCAATGGGAGAGCTTCATTTCAGAGACACGGATCGCTGATGTCGCGAAACGTTTATCGAGTGTCCTAGGTTTGACACTCGGCAAACCACAGATTTGCCGAGTGCCAGATAAGGGGCACTCGGCAAACCTTTTTTTTTCCATTTTCCTTCTTCTCCTTTTTTTCCATAACATGTTTTTCTAAATTTGTTCCGATGTACTTTGAAAATATCTTATCAAATTCACTCAACAATATATATTTGATTTTCCTAGGAATATTATTTCATTATTTTATGCAGTTACAGCTCAAAATTAATTTATATCAATTAAAATTCTGTAATTGCACTTAATAAATTAAAATTATCAAATGGATCCAAAAGTTTACCAAAATTTCACATGTAACAATCTATGTTCTCTATTGCCTATACAAAAAGTTTTGAAGTCAACCCAAGTCAACCCACAATTCGACCGTCACTTTAACTCCAAATCTTACCGAATCCTCTCAACGCTATGATTCTTCTTCGGAGATACTTCGGTTTGTAAGCATCGTACATGAAAAATTGTGTGAAACCTTCTCAAATTTTTACCACAGCCTCCACGTATGATATCATGAGATATTGAAAAATCTCATGATTTTCAGACTTCGTTTACTTTTTTTTAGAATTGAAAAATCATTCGGCCATATGTTCGTGGTCGTGTTTCCTGGACAAGATGTTCGAAATTTCTTTTCATTTCCCAGGTAAGGCATCACACTGGACTCAATAACATGAATACTATTTTTCTACTCATTTTATTCTATTATTTGAATCACTTGCAGTTCAAATTTGACTTATACCAAAAAATTCCTTGAAATATAATAAATTAATTAAATATAGCAAATAGATCCAGAAATCTACCAAATCTTAACATGGAGTACCACATGTTGTATATGGAGAGTAGAAAAAATTTCAAGATCAGAAGAGAAAAAAAACTTATTTATTTGCCGAGTGCCAAAAAAACACTCGGCAAACTTATTTCTTTGTCGAGTGCAAAAAAAAAAAACACTCGTCAAACTTATTTTTTTATCGAGTGCCACTAACGGACACTCGGCAAACTCCTAACGGCCGGCACACTAACTGACGGATGTCCATGTGGCGGTTTGTCGTCGAAAACAGTCTCTGCTTTTTAGCAACTGCAGAGTTGTTTTTTTTGTTTTATATGAAACTTGTCGAGTGTGTTTTTTTCAAAGACTCGGGTAAAGAGTTTGTTTGTCGAGTGCCATTATTTTGAAGCTATGTTTAGTTAAACGAGGTGTTTTTGGCACTAAAAAACTATATTACATTAAAAGAGCTTGTTTACCGAGTGTCCGATAGAATACACTCGGCAAACATTTTTGCACTTGATAAATCTACTGTTTCTGATAGTGCAACGCGCATTCGTGTCGGGGCGTTTCTATCTCCTCCCTCCCTCAACTCACGTCACTGTCCCACACACACTACCACTGCAAACATCACTGGCATACTAGGTAAGTAATTTCTTGGAACTTAAAATAGACTGATTGCACATTGCAAAATGGTGGAAGCAAATTGAACACGTTTGCGGTTTGCCTACCTGAAACAGTCAATCAAATATCACCTTGTTCGCTTGATCATTTATGTGGCTTATAAGTCAGCTGATGCTGTTTTGTTGATCGATGTAATAAAGCTCTACATATGAGGAAATGTATGAGCAACTTCTTCTAAATAATTGAGAGCCAAATTAACTTGTACTGTAACACACATGACAGGTAGAGATGTATAGCTTCTTTTATATATGGATCTAATCATCTAAAACATTTACACTGCCTTCGAATAGACGCAATCACAAAGGTCTAAACAGTGGGTGTACTTGGCTGTCCTAAAGGCCTAAACAGTTGAAAGACAAGGCCTAAAAATTTGGAACTTAGGTATCTTCCCCCAACTCAAATATATTGGCTTAAAAGAAAAGGGCAACCCAAATTATTCACACTAGATCTCGGTTAAGGAACGGGTTGCCACGTAGACTAATCACTCTAAATGGGGACGCTGCGGGCAGGGTGGCTTTAGGGTTCTAGCACGGAAAAGGTTCCAAAGACTCTGCATGAATGAATATGTTACCTCTCTTTGAACGCGAAAGTGTCCTCACAAAAATGTAAAAAATCAGAGAGCTCTCAGTCTCATAACATGGTGCTGATCGGCTGCTATGCTAGCTTTCTTGGACTTTAAATAAGAAATTTTGGAGTAATTTTTAACTTCAACTAATAATTAAATAGCGCTTGCTGATTTAAACAGGTCCTATATATTAAACTTCGAGGATCTCCACTGAAAGACTGCATTGCTGAACTCCAAGTCATCATTTGGCTGCATCACAAGAGACAGTCTGACAGAATAGAGCGCACAAATATAATCACCCAATAACTGATGCAGTTGGTCTTGCCTCAAATCGTAAAGACCTTTCTCCTAACCCCATTTGGTCGTTAGTTGCTGCTTCATTCTAGCACATACAGTATATGCTGAGCTCAAATGAGATCTTCTACCACCATTTTTAGCGCACCATGTACCCCCCAGCCCGTGGGGCGGATCTTCCCCAACTGGAGCTTTAAAAGAAGGGGCTCGGAGAGGCGGGTTGGCAGAGACGGTGGGGACGGATTTGGCGTCACGGCGAGGAGGAAGAAGCATGAGGAGGAAGGCGGTCATGCGGCTGGCCTAATTTATGGCCATGTCCTTCATGTTTGCACGAGTTGAGCTCGATGAGCTTTAGGTTTGGCGTCGTCGCGCGCCATCTCTGAGATAACTAGTATTGATCCTCAAGTTCGTATAATTGGATACCAAGATTATATAGGCATAAAATAAATTTAATTATGGGTTGCCACAGCATCTATAATAAGGTGTCCGGCCGGTTGTGATCTTGTAGTTCCTGTAATTGGATATCTAGATTAGCCGTAAATGGAAATAACTCAAAGTTTGGGTAGCAGATTACACATAATATGGATAACGGAAGGTCTATCTAAAAGCATCTATCATTTTTATACTACCCCCTCTATCCCAAAATAAAAGTCATTCTCGCTTCTATCGAAGTTAACTTTTTTTAATTTTGACCAATTATATATTAAAAAATATTAATATTTATAATACATAATTAGTATCATTAGATAGATCGTTGAATGTACTTTTATAAATATTGCACGTATTTTCTATAAATCTAATCAATGTTGAGAAAGTTTGACTTGCACGAATCCTATAACGTCATTCTTTTTGGGACGGA